AGGAGTCATAATGTTCCTCGCCGCTCTTTTATACTTCTCCATCTTCATCGAGTACTTAGCCACAAGCCTCACTCTTTGGTGTCCTTTCGCGGACTCGATCTGCCTCACGCGTTTCTGATTCTCCGTCTCGTGAATCTGACGGAAATGGTGGATTAGCTTCTCGTTCGCGTAGAATCTCCGGTCGCAAACGCCGCAGAAGTAAGGCTCCGGCGGTTTAACTAAACCCTTGTTCTCCAATTGGTTAAGCAATTTCCTCTCTTTCCTCTGTTCTCGAACTTCTACGGGGACGTAGCTGAAGGCGTGACGGTTCGCGTACGCCACCATCAGCTTCACGAAGCCGAAAGACGACGCGGCGGTCCGGAGCTTGACGGCCGCATCGTACGGCGGGAAAGATGCGGGTGGTTTGTTGTCTAGATCCCAGAAAACCGCCACTCGGATTGTGGGTTTAGGGTTTATCGAGCTAAACCCTTTGATTGAATCGAGAGACGTGATTGGGGTTTTCGGTCTCCAAATTCTCTGGACGAATCTCGAAAACATCGCCGGAATCTTCAAATCGACGGAGGGAGAGTTCGAAATGCAAGGTTACATACCAAATCCGTACCCGGCCCGAATCCGATTTATACGATTCGGTTCTAGTCAAGATTTCGGCGACTCGCATGCCGGAGTTCAGACTCGAACAATAAAAAACAATAGTAACAATAACCCTACATATTGTAAAATATTACAGTTCCTTCCTTAACTTTTTAATAGGAAACAAAGTCATCCAAGACTCGGATCGATCAAATCAAAATATCCCATTTGAAAAGTCATATGTTTTTAAATAGAAACTAAATTTGATGTGTATTTATCAATTATATTCAGTTTATATAAGATTTGAAATTTGTTTTGGAACACTCTCATTCAGTTAGAACTTAGAAGAAATCAGGTTTAATGGGTAATCTCGGTCAGTGTCAAATTTGAAAAATGCAATTTTTTTTTATTAAATCTGAGTCTTAATACAAAATCTAATTATGCTGATCATAATTACTGAATTATCAATTTTAAAATATAAAAAAATATTTTTTCTGTGTCTTATACAGATTTATATATACTAATGGCCATTATAACTCATCAACTTCACATAATTGATACGAGTTCTGTTAATTTTTAAATTGAAAGTGTTAAATGAGTTTAGATTATGAGTTAATAATAATACTAGGTGATCGGTCCGCACACACGGTGCAGACTATAAAATAATTTATATGATTAATATATGATTAATATTATATATTGATGATATTTTATTCGTACATAATATATATATATATATATTTTGATCTATTGTTAATTAAACCAAATTGAGTTTTACCATCTTTACTTATCCAAAGAGCGGATAGATGGTTGCACTGTAATCGAGGTTAACAAATTTCATGGACGACAAATTCGTATGGGATTTTGACTTTTGCATAATTAATATTTATATTCATACGCACATTTGTGGAAAAGATGAGTATGGTTTTCATGTGTTAAAAGAAAATAGCAATGTATATGTTTTGTAATATATATATACATATATATTTATAATATGTTATGATTGAATTTTATAAAAAAATAAATATGTATATATATGCATGTAAGTATGAGCTAGAAATAAGTAAATTGTAATATTTATGTGTTGGTTAGTTTTTCTGATATTTTCTGCAAACATTATGTTTTTACACAATACAGTTTTCGGCTTTTATCAACAATCACGAAAATCATTTCTATCGTTTAGTATTAAATCAAAATTTATTATTTTCAGCGATTTTTGTTTTTGATAAATTATTTTTCTACGTTTTGAGATATATAATTTTAAATTAAAAATTAAATTAAATATTAAATTAAATATTTAAAAAAATTACAAAAAACTCTAAAAAAATAAAACATAAGATTTCACTTTATCAAGAAGATAAATATAGTACATTAGATAATCCATTAGTAATTTTCCTTTTCAACAAAAATTATGATAAGAATTTTTTATGAAATTTGTGAAATCATATTTTTATAAAAGCAAGTATATATTATAAAATTTGGTATACACATGTGTTCATTAAAAATAACGCGTCTTTTAAGATTTTTTAAATAACTTTGTCAAACAAACTGCAATATTTTTACGAAAAACTAAAACTGTAAAGATTTATGTTTGTTTTTACTTCTTCTTTATATTTGTTTCATCTTATTATCATTTATTCTTTCATTCGATTATTTTTATTTTATTTATGATCTTAAATTCTCATCTTATTATCATTTTATTTATGATCTTAAATTCTCATCTTTTTATATTTGTTTCATCTTAAATCTTTTATTTTAAATTTACATAGTTTTTATTTTATTTATACAATGAAAATGCGTATATACATATGAATATGATATAAACTTTTCTTTTTATGTAAAATATGATAAGAGAGAAGATGAGATGGTAACAAAAACTATGTAAATTTAAAAAGACAGCAGTATAAAAAGTGTTAAAATTATATACAAATATATGGTCATATTAATACTATAAAATAGTAATAATTAGTATATACTTTATTTATTTGCCATAATAAGTAATGGTTCGAACAAACAAATTATTTTAAGTTATGTTACTTTTTAAACTTTCAATAAAAGTTAATTATTATTTTATTATTTTTAAATCTTTTTATTCTTTAAATTATTGTATCATGATTCTATTTTATTTTAAATTCTACTATTTAATAATGTATCTAATTTAAACCTTTTTAGATGTTATTATTATAAATTTTTATAAATTAATAACTTTCCAAAATAAGAATATATTATACTTTAAACATTATTAATATATATAATATTTATTATCTTATTGGATAATCTAATATTATATATTTTTTCTTTTAATATGAAATTATAATATATAAATTTGTATATGTATTGTAAAATTTTCGTACTAATACTTTATCTAATTATGAATATGTAAAAAAATTAATCATAATAATTATCTTTTTTGTTACTTTAAAATTATTTATAATCTTAAATAATTTCAAGTTTCTTTAATTTTTTATGTTAAATTTCAAGTTTCTTTAATTTTAATTCAACCAATCAAAACATTTCGTTTATTTTAGGAAATTTGACATGTCACATTTACATGTCATCAATACAATACACTAACTTTGATTGTGAGTGTGACACATCAGCAATTTTTACTAATTCTACTTTTCAAATAATGTATAGGGGATTGTATATGATTTTTTTGTCAAAATAAAAATATATTTATCAAAATTAATTTGGAAATGCTTATAAGTTGTAACTTTAATATGTTTCCAAAATTACTCTTTACTCAAATTTAAAATTAAAATTTATTACTAAAAATAGTTATGTAACGATTGTACTACACATGTTACTTATCAATCGTAGTTGTGCATATATCAATTGTACTAATATAATTATAATAACTAACTAAATTTACATGTATCAGTTGTACCAGTCATGCACATGTGTCAGTTTATATCAGTTTATATTCGGCTTAGCTAGAGAAACAAAAGTGTTATCGCCACACATCCATAATTATCCATAATTATGTAGAAATCTTAGTTTTAATTTTATTTTAAGCTTTAAAATATATCTATAAAGAAGAAATTATTATAAACAATGGAAAAAGAGAGAGAAAAGAGAGAGAAATGATTTTGTGAAGAAGATGATTTTCTGATTAATCATGAATGTAGTCGTTTATACAGTATATATACAATTAATATACAATTTACTTAACTAAACCAGTAATGGAAATTGGTCTAATCTAAACTGGATGAACCGAGAATTATCTAATTCAATAGTTTCTCTCAAGATGTGACTTCAAAGATGTTATAAAGGCTCATTTTGGACTTAAGATGCTCAACCTGACTTTGATACCATATTAGTAATGGACCTAACTCATACTCAAAAACTAGCTCAAGAGTAGATGGTTGCCTTACACTATATATATTATCCATAAATACTCTAAACTATCAATATGTGATAATATTCCAACACACCTCTCTCATGCTTAGGATTGAACATCTAAAACGTGAAGTTTGTGGGACTGGACATCCACGGGTGCGGGCCTCACAATCAAATAGTTAGAACCTTGGACTCTACCATATTACGAACGATGAAAAACGAGAGAAAAATAGTTTTGTGAAAAAGATGATTTTCTGATAAATCATGAGTGTAGCCGTTTACAAAGTATATATACAAATAATGTACAATCTACTCAACTAAACCGGTAAAAGGAAGTTGGTGTAATCTAAACCAGATGAACCGGGAATTATCTAATTTAATTGAAATATATACAAAATAAGATTAATCGTAACAAATAAAGTTTCAACAATAATAAATTTGAGAAACTTACCGAGAATCCTGGAACACAATTTGTCATTTAGATATGCTGCACATCGTTCAAAAAGTTGTAATATATCTATGCAAATTGATTATGTAATTTTCAATTTGTATCTTTTTAGATGAAACTAAGTTTGAGACCAATATGCTACGTTGCCTGAGATTATCATCCATAGCAGCTGCTATTAGAGTATTTGCTTGGCAAACTAAATGTCAATGCGATTTTCTGAAATTTGAAATTGTATTCTAAATTTTTTTATTAGGTTTTTCAAATTCATCTTTTCAATTTGATAAGAACTTTCTCATTTTACTGATATGAACAGAAGGAAACACACCCAAGCACATACGCTTGAAGGCCAATCTTGATCTCAGTTACTGAAGAAATCTGAGAAACAAGCCCAACACACTTTTGCAACAATAAGCAGGAAACTAACAAACTTCTTCTAAGGGTCCTTTTATACTTCACAACTGTAAACTCGGAATGGCATATCAGTACCAGTTCTTTGTTTTCAAAACAATGTGATTTTTAACCAAAGGTTCTATTTTGTTTTCAGCGTGAAGATATGCCAATAAACATGACCCTTGCCACATTGGTTGCTAATTTTTATTTTCATAAAATGATTTACCGGTAAATTGTAAGGCATAACTTATAATTACTTTTTTTTTAGGTATAATGGTTGTTCTTGAGGACTTTTGACCAACTCTCTATGCTTCTTAAGCCACAAGAGTGCTGGCTGTAGTGGACTCGCTGCAAGAGCAAAACCAACAAGAACCCTTGTTTGGTTCGCATAATTTAATACAATTAGCGATCTCTTGTAGAACACATATGGAGATACTCGCAATGAAGAGGTCTTCTTATATTTATAAGTAAACTTTGAGTTTTTGTTTCTAACCAAAATCAAGAGTTTAAAAGTAGTATGATCAACTTAATTTTGTTGCATGAAAACATTGCATCTAATATGAGATTGCCCAAGCCGAAACTTCCTGCAGTTGTATCATGTTTTTGACTTTTGTAAAGGAGAGTAGTACTTGTACTTGGTTACACTAATTATACAATGTAAACAGAAATTAGGTTAAAAAAACAAATTAAATTGAACAATATAGCCATTCTCAGAAACTAGAAAATAGTTTGTAGCCAACCAAAGTTTTCTTCCACAAGGGTAATAACTTGAAACATACAAAGAAGCAAATAACTCTTGCTTTGTCTGTCAAACTTACACAAAAGTACAAGAGAAACAAAAACAGATCAAGAAACCCAAAAGAAGTAAAAAGAAATTAATAAACAAAGATTTAACAGCAAAAGAGATGATATATAATAAAGAACACTAAACCGATTGTCTGGAGATGAAACCACCGTGAACCAAAACCAATGTACAGTAACACAACGTAAAAACCAGACATGACTGATAAACTTCACCAGTGATCAGTTGCACTACCATGATGTTGTCCATTGATGAACTCTGCAACTGAAGAGTGTCCGTGGGTAGAGGCGGATCATTGGAGCTTCCGGAACTTTCTGGAAGCGTCGGTGATTGTTCTGAGCTTCCAGAGCCTTGAGGCGTATTATTGCTACGGTCTTCTTTCTCCTCATCAGCCTTCTTCTTGCTCTGGCTGTTACTGTCAGTGCCATCTGCGCCGTCATTTGAAATGGTTTTAACCACTTCGGGCCGTGGTTCTACTCCTACCCGCCTTAAGTGCAGCTACACAGATAGAGTGAGTGAGATTCATCATATAGATACAATGTTTTTATGCAATTAACGAATAAGTAATTGGGTTTTCAGATGCTGAGTTTGTATATACCTGTAGATGCAAATTGACTTCATCAGGCCGTGATAGGAATGGAAAATCTCCTCCCGACTTTAAGTAAGCTCTCCTTGCTTCGGGATACCTCTCTGTAAGTTCATCCTTGAGAAGTTGTGGAATTGCGCAGTAATCATTTGTCTGATTCACAGGACAAAAACAGCATCGTTAAACGATAAAAGAACAGACTTGCATTTAAGATTAGAGTTGGGCAAAAACCTACATCCATTATAGTGATGAACGAATCAGAGAGTAGTAGAGATCCCACGGAAGCAGTATCGACTGTTAAAGTTAACCGGGAAGCCAAATCATCTTTTGACAATGTCTCAACCTGTACCAGAGAGCAAACCAAAAGGAACCGGAATGGTAAGTTCATCTACAAAGCCCTTTTTCACATGTTATTTAGATCTGCTCAAGAACATAATCGAGGGAACAACCTGAGAAACAGCAAAGTCGACAGAGTCAGCGATAAAGGGTTCGTGAGGTCCGTCACGTATTCCTGTTAAGACGTATCGTTTCAGCAAAAAAGAAGGAGTCCAGCTAACACTGCACAGTGCAACCCAAAAAAAGGTGTATAGAGTCAGTACAAATCCTCAGGTACAAGCAAGAAAATGAAAAAAAAGGAAAAATCATACAAAGGAGCCCATGGCATTGCAGCAGCAAAAGTGCCAGTATCCAAATATGTATTTGACAGAACCAATGATTTAACCCGTCTTGGACGGTGATGAGCAAAGAGTTGTGCTAAGAAGCCTCCAAGGGAGGTACCATAGAGATGCACCTATTAACAATGGTCAAGAACAATAACTTAGAGTGCTCTATTTTCCGCACCAGTAAAGACAATTAGAGGCGTAGATGGTGAACTTAAAGAGGTCTTACGTGATGAACATCAATGGTGTCCAAGAATTTCTCGAATGCTTGAATCCACTCATGATAATTCCAAACCCGTGGAATGTCAACTGAAATAACCCGATAACCCTGGAATTGCAGATTTTAGGAGATATATAATGAGTCTCCAAGGACACAGCAGCACATAATCATTTTAGTTAGCTTAACAAGTGTTTAAAGCTACATGTGATAAGAAGGAAAAAAATAAAGATTGTTTGCTCAAAAACTACGTTACCTTCATGGAGAGTGACATAATCTGTTTGTAGTAAACATCTGCAGTTCCTGCGATTCCAGGAATACATATGAGCGGAGGAACAGTCTTTGGACCATAGTCATAGTAACGCCATTGCTTTGTCCCAATCTGCGGTTAAGATGCACATAAGGCTTAGATATAAGACCGTTTATTTTCTGAGCAAATGACATTCCAAAATACCAAATACATAAAAAATAATGGAAATCCTTCATTCTGATTCATGAAATAAGAGCAATAGATGTACACAAACAAATTATGACTTTCCCAACCAAATTTCGATAGAATGAAACAATTTTTGAGCCATTCGATCAAAAGTAACAAGAATCTGAGAAACCTTCCTTTACTTTACAGAATGAGAATGATTAATAGTTCTAAGAGCTTAAGATGCAAGTATAGCCAAAGAATTGTAAGCAATACACTATGATAGTCCCAAGCTTTTACTCATAGATCAAATCAAAGGCAACCCCAGAGGAATCTACACTCTATGGAAGTTAAAAGATCAAAACGGAGATAAACTGTCACTAAACTAAAAACTAACAAGTTCTTGCTCTTAGACAGTAAACAAAACCCAGAAATGATAAACCAGATGCATTCATAACCTAAGAAACTGGTACAATCAAATGCATTCAAGTATTTTAAACCCAAATCATGTGAAATTCAGCTGCGTAAACCCAAATCATGTGAAATTCAGCTGCATAAACCCATATACGATAAAGAGAATTCGATTGAACTACTCACACAAAGAATTCTCCTAAAATTAGCGTCAAACGATTAAACCCATATGAAATTAATCGACAATTAACATAGGGAATTGCTCCAAAACTCCAGACCTGGGTATTAGACCTAATCGAATAGCGAAAACGAATGCAGAATCGAAACTCGAAAATGTCAAAGAGAGAGGGAAGAAGATGAAGAAGAAGAAACTTACGGGAATCTTGTGAAGAGGAACCTGAGATTTGAAGTAGACGTAATCTCCGGGCGCCGAGGAGACGCCTTTCATGGCCGATCGGAGATTTTCAACATCCGAGACTCTCGAATCGATCAAATCAATCCAAATAATTGATATGTATTTATTAAATTTTGTTTCTCGCTCTTTGCTCTCCCGAACAACTGCTCAATTTTTTTCCTCTTAATTTTCGACAGAAATATTTAACGGCGATATAACAGAGTTTCCGATATAAAGTTACCATCCGCCTGTCAACGTTGAACGCCGTGACTGTAACAGTCATCATCATGACGCATCAATTTCACTCATACATTTCGGTTATTCTTAGGATATTTCTCAAATAAAAAATAATTAAATGTCGCAAAATATTTTAAAATTTCATTTGATTTCTATTGACTGATCCACTAACGATTTTTTAGACAAGGATTTGAGATGCTGTTATATTCTTTTCTTGAATGTATTGAAGGAAGATGATGAAAATATTTGGTACTGAATTATCAAAAAAATTAGAATTTTCGTCAGAAGTATTTCGTATTATCATGTGTTATACGCAAATTTGGAAGATATTTTGTTGAAAGATTAGCCTTTGCACACAAGCGTTTGAGATAAATACAGAGATTCAACTACTAAAAAAACATGAGATTTAATTTTCTTTTAAGAGAATAATGTTTGTATACAAAGTAGTCATGGAATGAATCTGCGTATTGGAAAAGGGTTTTTTAAAAAGACACATTTGTTTCCTTTTTTCTATAATATTTGAGATTGATTCAATCTATTTTTATTTATATATAAACTAATGTCGTACAAAATATCATTGTGTTACAAAATTCTACAAATTTATTCCACAACAATCTCTCAACTCTTAGCTAAAATATATCCAAATTCTACCATGGTATTTACGATTCATACCATTAGATTTATTAGAATATTTCATGATTTCATTAAGAGTAATAATGACAAATTAAGCAAAGAAAACTCACGTTTTAAACCATTTAAATTGTATAGACTTAGACACACTCGATTACAGTTTCTCTTTCCTAGGTTAACCATAAGTTATCTCTTAACCGACCATCATTTTGTAATTACACAAAAATTAAAGATGGTTTTATGATGCACTTGGATAACTGTGTTGGATAATTCCAATAACTTTTAGAGGAAATTATCTTTAAAAGTAGCTAAAGATATATAGAATAGGAAATATCAAGAATGAAAAAGATGAGTTTTCCATTCTTAATAGAACAAGGAGTTGCTTGATTCTATAAATAGAGAGCTTATGGAGGTTTGTTCCATAAAACTCAAGAGAGAAAAGTTTAGTTTTGTGAAGTTTCTAAATCTAATAAGAAGAGCAGTTCTTATACTTTCTTGTGTTTGATATATCGACTTGAATTGGTATCAAAGCTTCAAGGAGAAAGCCTCGGACCTTGACAAGTTGGTGAACCAACAATGGCGGACGTGAATCAACCATAGGGAAATTGGAACTTCATCCATCCAATGTCCGATGCTTACATCGACAAACTATACAGTTTGGTCGATGAGGATGAGGGTCATACTTCGAGTCAATGAAGTGTGGGACACAATCGATCCGGGGTTAGCTGATCCGAAGAAGAACTATGCGGCGATAGCTCTTCTCTTCCAATCAATCCCGGAGTCATTAATTCTTCAAATGGGAGAACAAGAGACGTCGAAGGGAGTATGGGACGCCATTAAATCACGTCATCTCGGAGCAGACCGTGTAAGGGAAGCAAGACTTCAAACCCTAATGACGGAGTTCGATAAATTATCAATGAATGATAACGACACCGTTGATGACTTCGCGGGAAAGATATCTGGACTTGCTTCGAAGGCAGCTTCCCTTGGCAGCATGATTGAAGAACCCAAGATGGTGAAGAAGTTCTTGAAAGGACTTCCAAGAAAAAAATATATACAGATCGTCGCATCACTGGAATAAGTTCTGGACCTAAACTCAACGGGGTTTGAGGATATTGTAGGAAGATTAAAAGCATATGAGGAACGTGTTGGTGAAGTATCACAAAGCGACGATCAGAACAAGTTGATGTGGTCTAGCAATGACCACAATAACCGTCAAGAACAGAGCACCCGCGGAGGACATGGAGGTTCTCGAGGGAGATCGAGAGGTGGTGGCAGAGGCAGAGGTCGAGGTCGCACAAACCAGAGCTCAGGAGGAGAAAACAAAGACAATGCTCAAAATCGAAAAAGGGATATGAGCAAAGTACTCTGTTATAGGTGCGACAAGCCAGGGCACTATGTATCAAACTGTCCAGATTTGCCAAAGAATCAAGAAGCAAATCTGAATGAGACTCAAGAACCCGAAGCCCTGTACATCCACGAGCTAGTGTTCTTAAACGAGGACAAAGTCTTTCCAGAAAAATATGATATCATCGAAGACAAAGAAAGCATATGTGATGTAGCGGAAGCAACGATAAAACAGCTCAACCAAAGGATTCAAGGAATCGATTGGGACCTGCCAGCTCAACCAAGGGATTCAACGGAATCCACACTTGGGACCTGCTTCTTGAACTCGTTGAGATCTCAATAGATCTGCCGAAAACAAGGAATAGAGAATACTCTCGCAAAAGCCAAAGCTCTTTACTAAAAAATCAACAACTGAATAATACATTAGGCCTAAACGGCTTTATATAAGAAATCTAAAATCTATAGAAAACCTTAGAAAACTCTAGAAAACCCTAAAATAATAAAAGGAAATTATATAAATAATAAAATAGATAATAAATGATATTTGGAATATTTCCAAATATCTAGCTACACCATTTTCTCCGGGTTGGAGAAGATTCGTCCTCGAATCTTAGCCGTGGTCTTCGATTCCGAAACTCCTTCCACAAAAATCATTCGATAATTTTCGTTCATTTTTTCTAATCTTCCATTGATAAAATCTTGCATTTGAACGAACCGAACCTTCCACGAATTCTGCACAAACCGATATTATGTAATCTTCACCGGTTTTACACAGACCGAATACATCATAAATCTGTTTGTCTTGGTTATGCACGGACTTTGCACGGATCGGATTTTACATGCGGTTTACATAAACCGGATTTTGACCGAAATTTGCACAAACCAGATTTTGCACAGATTCTGCATGACCCAGATATGCACAGATTTTGCACAAACCTAATTCGCCACAGATCTCTCTCGATTTCGAACACCATCGATTCTGCCCGAAGTTTGCACGCGTCGGATTCTTCACGAAATTTGCACCAATCAAATCACGCCCAAAATTTGCACCAATTTGATTCCACCCGGATTGTGCACATATTTGTTTCTCAAAAGCATCATCTTCAATAACATCTTCTGCATATACATCGTAGATCGGTTCGCCATAGATCTCTCGATAGATCTCATGGTTATCTTCTCTTTCGACAAAAGGATAGGTGTTGCACCGGTCAATCAACATGACATCCAGAATCGAACCCTGATTTAGAAATCAAAGGTTGTGTCTCTGATACCAACTGATGTAGCTGAAGCAATGATAAAACAGCTCAACCAAATGATTCAAGGAATCGATTGGGACCTGCCAGCTCAACCAAGGAATTCAACGGAATCCACACTTGGGACCTGCTTCTTGAACTCGTTGAGATCTCAATAGATATGCCGAAAACAAGGAATAGAGAATACTCTCTCAAAAGCCAAAGCTCTTTATTAAAAAATCAACAACTGAATAATACATTAGGCCTAAACGGCTTTATATAAGAAATCTAAAATCTATAGAAAACCTTAGAAAACTCTAGAAAACTCTAAAATAATAAAAAGGAAATTATATAAATAATAAAATAGATAATAAATGATATTTGGAATATTTCCAAATATCTAGCTACACCAATATGGTACTTAGACAATGGCGCCAGTAATCACATGACGGGAAATAAAGTGTATTTCTTAACCTTGGATGAGAAGATCAAAGCAAAAGTCAAGTTCGGTGATGGGTCCAATGTCGAGATTATGGGGAAGGGCACCATTGTTTTCATAGGGAAGAATGGAGAGAGAAGAGCTCTGAAAGACATCTATTACATTCCTGATTTGAAACATAATATCATCAGTCTTGGACAAACAACCGAGAATGGTTGCAAAGTTAATATGAAAGGCGACAAACTGAAGCTCATAGACCCGCACGGAAGACTACTTTTACAAGTACATAGATCAGTGAACCGCCTCTACAAAACACGAATGGATATAAACTACCCCAAGTGCTTTCAGATTCAAACTGATGATATAACAAAAAATTGGCACACAAGACTAGGGCATACAAGTTTTGGCGTCATGGCGAATATGGTGAGGAAGGCGATGGTAGTGGGAATGCCAGAAAAGCTACTTGAGACAGGAGTATGCGAGGCATGACTCTCGGGTAAACAAACAAGGACCCCTTTCCCGATCAAAACTACCTTCCGTGCAACACAAGCACTCGAGCTGATCCACTGTGACTTGTGTGGACCTATTTCTCCACCAACACCAGCCAACAACCAATATTTTTTTTTTTACTTATCGATGACTATTCATGGTTCATGTGGGCTCTGTTATTGAAAGAAAAGAGTGAGGCTTTCAATCGGTTCAAAGGGTTTAAAGAAATCGTGGAAAAGCAAACAGGTTTCATGATCAAAACCCTTCGAACCGATAGAGGAGGAGAGTTTACCTCACTCGAATTCAACAGATTCTGTGAAGAGAATGGCATAACACGACATCTAACAGCACCATACACACCGCAGCAGAACAGCGTAGTAGAGAGGAGAAACCGGACATTGATGGAGATGACAAGAAGTGTTCTTAAAGCAATGAGAATGCCAAACTTCTTGTGGGGAGAAGCCGTAAGACATTCAACATACATCATAAACCGAGTTCCCTCTAAAGCGCTGAAAGACAAGACCCCTTACGAGTGCTTCATGAATAAGAAACCAAATGTCGCACATCTGCGAGTGTTTGGATGCATCGCACATGCGAAAGTTACTGGACCTTATCTGAAGAAGCTAGATGAAAGATCAAAGAAAGTAATCAACCTTGGAACTGAGAAGGGCTCCAAAGCT